ACACACTAATTTTATTTGAAAATAGTAGGCAAGGCCAACAAAACAATTTTTGCATTTTTATGCATCCACAGAGCCATTTTATATCTTCATAAATTTTATCGTGAAAATGTCGAACAAATTTTCTTGTTGACGTATTTATATTTAATTTAGGCATTGGCCTTTCTCTTTTAATAACGTTTTCTTTTACATTATATGATCTGGAGCCAAAACTTTTTAAAATAAATTTTCAACATCGCAATTACATTCCGAGTCGCTAGACGTGATATAAGGGTTAAAATTAAAAATAAAATTATAAAAACTTACTTGGTGAAATAAAATATAATGTGGTGGATATCCATATCTGGTACAAAATATTCTTCAATTGTATGAATATACTTTAAAAGCAAAAGAACCTTACACTCGAGCAAATCGTCCCTAGCAGAAAACGAATAATACGAAATTCTACACGTAACTCACGTTGTTCGAAATTACAGCTATTACGCTAAACAAAATAAATCGGAGGGCTCGTCCGGGAATTGAACCCGGGACCTCTCGCACCCGAAGCGAGAATCATACCGCTAGACCAACGAGCCACGCGTTGCTAACACAATTATTTGCGATTCACATGTCGTGCGATTTCTGCCTGTGATTGTACTTAATTTACGATTAAATGTTCGTCGATTTCCCACCATCTCTCCTACTTCCATTCTAACACATTTAGTGAATGACATACAAAAGAACACTCGCATTTGCTATGATCCTATTACGGCAAATACAAGAGGTCTGCCACAGCGGACTTTCTTCTCAGAGCCCACTTCCGTTTAATTTTTTTTGTCTTGCACAGTTTAATCCTGCATACTCCACGTCTTTTTATCGAATCGTCACTTTTCGCATTTCGTCGCGCAGTTTCAAAATTTTTCACACAACCGAATCAGTTTTTTCTCCATGTGCGTGGTCGCCACGGGCTTTGCCCATATGTCGCTTAAGTAGTCATCGTTATCGTCTTGCTTTCATAAGCAAACTCGAATGGTCTGTCAACGCAGACTTCCCAGTTCCGATTGTATACTCCACGTCTTTTTATCGAATGTTGCATATAATTCAGTCCTGCGTGGAGTATGCAGGACTGAATTATTAGAAACATCAATGAACAAGTAGCAGGACTGAATTATATGCGACATCAATGAACAAGTAGCACTATCGATGTACTAGACTAGACTAGACGTTAGCGGTGCAACGGTTTATAACTTTGTTAAATTTCTTCTGATTTTAATTCGTAAGTAAAATTTTATTATTTTTATTAATCACGGATCGCAAAAAGGCAAATGAAACGCGACAGAAAACTAAAAAAATGACTAGAATTACAATGGAACTGATAAAAGAGATTGTTGAGAAATACGAAGGTGGCACGCGTGTTCGAGATTTCAACTGTTGCCTACCGCAGGGGTCGGCAATCTTTTGAGTCGGAAGAGCCAAAATTACAATTTACAAAATTTCAAAGATTATAAAGAGCCACAAAATTTTTTCTTGCCAACAATAAATAGTACTCGCATAAATAAAGTTTTTTGATAAAAAA